CGGTTCCCAGTGGAGGGAACCTCTTGGGTACAGGGAGCTGGAGTCTTGAGCAGCAGGGTGGAGTGGCCTGTTGAGGTCAGCCTCGGAGAGTGGTGGTGGGTCGAGGGAGTAGGGGACAAACCAAGGCGGCCTGGAGTCAGGGCAGGGCCACCTTGAAGGCCTAGCGTACTAATTAGTCCCCAAGGGGACCTGATGTGGCCTGCCAGGGAGGTGTGGGAGTTGGGAGGTCCTAGACCATGGGGCGGTGGATTCTGGGGGCTGGGGATGACAGATGTGGGGGAGGGCATGGGCCTGGGTGGCTCCTGGCCTGCAGGACCCAAACCCTAGGGGTTCAAAACCACCTGGAGCTTATAGAGCCCAGATGGCTGGCTTCACCCAGAGACTCTGCTGCATTCTGGGCCTTTACCTGGCAGTATACTGGACATCTATACCTGGCAGTATATCAGGTGCTTTATGGAGGCTGCATACCTGCCTAAACACTGGGTCTATATACCTGACTACATACAGAGACTGTGTACCCAACTGTATACCAAAGCCATATACCTGTTGTATACTAAGGCTATATATCTGATTGTATACATACCTGGCTGCATACAGAGGCTGTGTACCTGGCTATACACCTGACTGTATACCAAGGATGTATACCTGGCTATATACCGAGGCTGTATACCTGATTGTATACTGTGTTAGGGTTCTCCAGAGAAATAAAACCAAAATGCTAATAATTTTATATGTATTTATACAGATAGCTCAATATATGACATAAGAAATAAACAGCTAATTAAATTATAAAGCAGTACAAATGACTCAGTGCAACTCACTCCCGTGAGACAGTTGTGAGGCACTAGCAGTCCTTCAAGTCTTGAGGTCCGCCGGGTAGTCCTCTGCAGAGCAATTCAGGCTATCTAGGCACAGGCAGCAAACAGCAAGGCAGGTCACCAACAGTCAGCCAGATGACAGGGTCCGACAATCCATTTATCTCTCTGCCCTTCAATTAATCCCACATGTGTTTATCCGCCAGGTTGGCGCAATAAACTAACTACCTCATATACCGAGGCTGTATACACCTGATTGTCTACCTGGCTGTCTACTGGGGGTGCAGACGAGGACTGTGCCGAGGCAGTATCCTGGGGCTGTATGCTGCTGTTTTCAGGTGTCATTGAGCTGGTTCCGACCCGTCGCAAAGCCGTGCCCAACAGAACTGAACACTGCACGGTCCTCACAATGGTTCCTTTGTCTGAGCCCACGGTTACAGCCACTGTGTCCATCCACCTCCTCAGGGCCTTCTCTCCTTCGCTGCCCCTCCACGTCACCAAGCATGACGCCCTTCTGCAGGGCCTGGTTCCTCCTGACTACATGTCCGGCGTACGTGAGACGAAGTGTCACCGTCACCTCCACTGTGACACGCAGCCTCATCAGGAGATGGACGTGATGGCCACGGGGGGCGTGGCTCTCTCGGACGTTCCCGGGAGCTCCCAAAGGACAGGAAGTTTGGGTCCACCCAGAAAGGGCTGTCTGTCTTCCTCTGAGAAGGGAGCCATTGAGAGCCACTGGGTGACTCTGAGGCACACATGGGGTGGCCGAGACCCCAAGGGACCCTCAGGTGCTGGCACAGTTCCCTCGGGCTTCGCTGGCCAGCGCTGGTTCTGTCCCAGAGCTCTCTCCTCTGTTTCCCTTCCAGGGGGCGCCTCCCTGAGCTTCCTGGTTCTGGTGACCGGCTGCACCTCGGTGGGCAGAATTCCAGAGGCCGAAATCTACAAAATCACGGCCACCGATTTCTACCCGCTGGAGGAAGACGCCAAGGAGGAGGTCCGGCTCTCGGCCCTGAGGAAGACCCTCAGCTCGGGCGTCTTCTATTTCGCCTGCCCCAACGAAGGCTCCAGCTTCGACCTGACCGTGCGCGCGCAGAAGCAGGGTGATGACCGCTGTGAGTGCGGCAGTGCCTTCTTCTGGTGAGTGCCCAGTCCACTGCCCCGGCCCCCCAGCCACTGAAAACCCGGTAGCGCCCTGCTCTGCTTGGGCAGAACCGACCCCATGGCCACGGTGTGAGGGCCAAGGTGCATGGCGTGCTTGCTTGCTCCCGGGGCTGTGGTCAGGTTTCTGCATCATTGGCTGCTCTGTCCACCCACGGTCCTGGTCACTGTCCAGGGTGCAGACAGGCACCACCGGGCACTGTTCAGGGCTTGGGCGCTCACCGCACGATGGGCACATCTGTCCTAACCGACCAGTGGTCCCTCGGGAGAAAAGACCGAGTGACCGGTCCCAGAAAAAGTTGTTGCTGCTGCTATTGCTAGGTACTGTCCAGTCAGTTCCGACACAGTGACCACGGACAGCGCCATCCTCTCCACCATCGTCGTGGTTGCAGGCACTGTGTCCATCCACCTCCCTGGGGGTCTTCCTTTGCCCCCTAGGAAGGCCTACAGGGTAGTTCTAGCCTGTCCTGTGGGGTCACTGACCGTTGGAATGGACTTACTGGTTATGGGTTTGGTGGATCTCTTGGCTAGCAGCCAGGTGCTGGCCCACCAGGGAGGGCTGCAACCGAAAGCCCCCCAGCCCCCCAAGTGGAGAAACTGAGTCAGCTTGCCCAAGAAGACTTGGCATCTCCTCTGCTTCCTGTGATAAGTGAGGGAGGGAGGGAGGGCAGGACCCACCAATGCATGAGTCACCGTTGGCTCTGTGGACGCCCCGGGGCCTTGGGTTGGCTGTTGGCTGTGTGGGCGGAGCCTTGGGTTGACTGTTGACTGTGTGGGCGGGGCCATGTCCCTGGAGCCCCGCTATGCAGAGTCCACCCCAAGTTCAAGATGGGACCATGAGACACAGGTCTCCTCCCTCAGATCAGTGGCCTTTCCAGACTCCCCCCCATCCTGTGAAGAGAGAGAGTTGGGGTGCCCTCTCCTCCAGGGCCCCAGTGCTCCTCACCCCAAATGCTCCTCTCTGGCTGAGCTTTAGTACCTGGCTGCTGGTCAAGAGGTGGGCGCTCAGAGTCCACCCTGAGGTGCCTTGGGAGAAAGATGTGGCAACCTACTTCTGAAAGACCAGCCATTGCAAACCCTACGCACGGAGGGAGCACAGCCCCAGCCTGGCATGCATGCGGGCGCTGTGAGGGGGGTCAGTGTGTCCCTGGTCCTGTGGGCATCAGGTTTGGAGCCATTCTGGACAGGGCCTGGCCTCTGTCCTCCCACTGATGTCAAAACAGGGGTCTGCAGACCCCCTCTGAGGACGGGCTCTGGGGTGGAGTTTGTGGGTCTCCCTTGGTCCACGGGGTTCTGTGTGCTAGGATCAGAAACGGCATCATGGCCTGTTCCCAGGGGGTCACCAGGCCCCTCTGTGGCTGCTCCTTGTGTGGCAGGGGATAGAGGAGGGGTCCTAGGGAGGGTGAGGTCGCCGCCAAGGTATCTATCCTCTGGGAGTCCAACATCATGCACTTCCACTCCCTGCTTACTAACTTGATTGGGAGTCGGGGGCCGAGGAGAGGATGATGTGGGCATCTGCAGACCCCAATGGTGAGGGGCTGGCGGTGCCGGCTGGGCTGTGGCATGGGCTCGGACTTGGTTTCTCTGTGCCTCAGTTTCTGCAGCTGTAGGATGGGGTTAGGAGCCTAGTGAGGATGAAATGAATCCTTCCCTAGGAGACTGGCACTTGTGCTAAGGTTTACTTCCCTCTCATCCTCTCTGACTGATGGTGACCTGCTCGATGCTCCTCTCCCGCCAAGTCTGGGTGATGGTGTGTGTGTGTAAGTCATACCAGCGTGGGTGTGCTGGCAGTGTGGTCGCAGTTTTAACCGGTGAGGTGTATGGGCAAAAAGTGTGGGTATCACAGGGTCAACACCACGGCATCTTTGAAACCCCCTGAAAGGGCCACTCCTGATTTTGCTTCCGACCCTGTCATAAGAGGGCTCCTCTTGGGGGAGGGAGGAGTTCCTGGGTAGCACAAATGGTAACCGCGCTCGGCCTGCTACATGGAAAGGCGTCCCCCAGTAGCACCTTGCAAGAAAGGCCTGGCTATCTACCCCTGAGAAGTCAGGCACCGCAAACCTAGCGAGTCACCATGAATGGCTTTTGGGCATTTGGGGAGAGTCCCTTCTCCCACGGCCCCGTGCATCACAGTGCTACTGGTGGGGCCTCTCTCTGGGGTGCCTGGACTCTCGCGGGCCACCCGTCGGCCGTGAAGCGCGTGTGCGAGTCCCCAGCCGGTGCCTGCTGTACGGAGCTGGGGGCCCCGAGTTCACGAGCCTGTTCTGCAGGAACCAGCTGCTGCACTGGCCCCTGAAGCACCACCAGGTGAGCTGCTCCGACTGGCTGCTGAAGGTGATCTGCGGCGTGGTGGCCGTCCGCACCGTGTACGCCGCGCACAAGCAGGCCAAGGCGTGCCTCATCTCCCGCATCAGCTGCGAGCGCGCCGGGGTCCACTTCCACACCCGTGGCGTAGACGATGACGGCCACGTGTCCAACTTCGTGGAGACGGAGCAGGTCAGTGGCCGGGCCCTGGCACCGGGAGTGGGGGCTGTGACTCGGAATGGTCACACACACGCACAGGAAAACAGAGCTGTTGGCATGGACCCCATCCTGCCCCCTTGATGACCTCATGTGCTGCAGAGTAAAACGGCCCCATGGAGTTTTCTCGGCTGCATGCTTCCCCCTATTTTTTCATAATCATGTTATCGGGAGCTCTAAAAGATACCGTTAACGTTCCATAGTTCAATCACATCAAGTGGTATCTGCTGTCTCTTTGCTGCAGTAGTTCACCAGGCCTCCTCCCCCCGGCCCCCGACTGCAGTGGTTAGGTTCGAACCACCAACCCTCAGGCCAGTGCTGTGGGTGCTGTCAAGTCGGTTCCAGCGCTCAGCCACCCAAACGCACAACAGAAGGAAACACTGCCCAGTCCTGTGCCATCGTCACCGCAAACCCAAACCAAATGCACTGCCATTGAGTCAGTTCTGACCCATAGCGACCCTCCCTGCGGGGCAGGGCACGACGGCCCCCGTGGGTTTCCAAGACTGGAACTCGGTACAGCGGGTGATGTCGAACTGTTGACCTTGCAGTTGGCAGCCGGACATGAACCCCTCCCCAACCAGGGCTCCTTGCTGTCCTCACAGTGGTGCTCTGTTAGAGCCTATTGGTACAGCCGTGTCGAAGGGGACCTCCCTCTTTTCCCACGGCCCTCTGCTTTGCTAAGTGCCCTGCCCTTCCTCAGGACTGGTCCAGAGCTGTCTAGCCATCCTCGCTCGACTCCACGGATTCTGACAGTTCTGCTTCCAGGACCAATGTGCTTGGCGCAGGGATGGATCACAGTTCTCTTCCCAAGTACTTTGATTTGAACTCCTCTCTGCCTCGATTCGGCTGCCTCGTCTCCAAGTGCACGGCCTGGCCAAGAGTGGACTCGGCTTGGCCAGGGAGGGCCTGGCCTTTGGGAGTGGTTTCTGGCTTCTGGTCAACCGGAGAGGAGGGCGTGACAAGCTGGCCGCTGGCTGGGCAGTGGGTATTTTTTGCACGCCTTCTCATGATGGGAGAATGTTGCTTCCCCTAGGTATTTTTAGCTAAAAGGAACCAGGTGTCCTGGCCACGGTCACCAAAGGTGGAGTTATTCAGAGAGCCACTGATGGCCAGACCCTCCTGATTGGAAAATCGCACACACGAGTAGGTAGGTGCATCCCGAGAAAGGAGGAGAGAAGCAGCAGGCAGGCTCTCCATCCATGGAAGCTTCGGCCGAGACGCAGGATGAGCAGCCGGGGCTGTGCCAACTGCGCTCCAGCAGTGGTTGGCATCCACGCCGTGGAATACCACCATCTGCTTCGCTTCTCACGGGCGTTTCCTGCTAACTGATGTCCGGAGCCTGATGAGCTGCAGGTGGGACGGAGACCCTCGGGAAGGCTCAGGCAGAGCATGGCCTTCAGCGATGCACGCGTCCACCCGTGTGACTCTATCGGGGGCAATAGCTCTGCGTTTCCCTGTCACAGTGGTCCCTGCGATGGGGATGGGTGCCTCTGAGTCATGGGGTCAGCAAGAATACCGACCGGCGGCCAGAAGAACGACGCATCTGTCTTGGAAGAAGTACAGCCAAATGCTCCGTGGAAGCAAGGATGGTGAGCTTGGTCTCTCATGTCATCGGGAGGAGCAAGACACTGGGCCTGGTCAAGCAGAGCGTCCATGACCAGAGAGCAAGACCTCCATGAAAAGGCTGGCTCCGTGGCTGCAGCAACGGGCTCAAATATGAGGATAACTGTAGTGATGGCGCAGGGCTGCAACAAAGTGTCCTTCTGCTGCCCTAACCACATAGCTAACAACCACAACAGCTGCTGCTGCTGCTGCTGCTGCTGCTGTGAGAACATTAATACCCAGACAAACAAACCCATTGCTGATCATTTGATTGCGACTCACAGCAACCCCGGGGACAAGGGAGAGGGTCTCAAAGCTGTAAACCAGTGTTTCCCAAAGTGAGTGGTAACCCCGTCAGCCCATGCTGACTCCACGGGGCTGCAGACACAGATGCCCACCCTTTATCCTGGATGATGGGTGGGTTAGACAGGGTTCCCTAGAGAAACCAAACCAGGACACTTATGGCTTTTTATATATATATATATACAGATGTATACAACATAAGAAATAATCAGCTAATTAGTCACAGGGAAGTACAAATGGCTCAGTTGAACTCACTTCCGTGAGACAGTTAATACACTGGCAGCCCTTCAGTTCACAAGGGCTGCTGGGTGCAAGTCAAGGAAGCAGACAGCTGAGTCTTCTGTAGAGCAATGCAGGCAGTCCAGCCACAGGCAGCAAACAGCAGGGTGGGTCACCAACAGTCAGCCAGATGACAGGATCTGACAGTCCCCAGCTCAAATGATGTATATACCAGCAGTGTGGTGAAGCAGGTCTTGAAGGAACCTCAAACTGTAGGGACACAGTCCATGGATTGAGTGTCCCACAGGTAGTGTAGCTCACCTGTTGAGGCAGAGGACCAGCTCAGGCAGCCGCACACTGGTTTGATCACCAGAGAGCAAGAGACAGACAGGCGAGGCTCACCGAGCCATTTATCTCTTTGCCCTTCAATTAAACCAAAACCTTATTAACCCCACATGTGTTTATTGGCCAGTTTGGCACAATAATCCTACTGATCACAATGAGCTACAGTATAAAAGTGTCCAATCACCAGGGGGTCACTGAGTAAGATTTTTTTCTGAAAGGGGGACAGAAGGCCAAATAGGCTTGGGACCCGATGCTGTCAACCTTTGTGGGGTCCATCTGCCATGCCTTTCCCTCTCAGAGCGGCTGGTGGGTCCGAACCACCGACCTGGTTAGCAGGCTCTCACTTAACCAGCGAGACACCAGCACTTAACCGCTGAGTCACCAGGGTTCATTATAGGATGCTGTGGTTGTCAGGTGCCGTCCAGTCCATTCTGACCCATCGCGACACTGCACAACGCAGTGAAACACTGCCGCCCACACAGGGGTTCCGTGCCTGAGCCCATGGCTGCAGCCAAGGCCCACGTTGAAGGCCTTCCTCTTTTTCACCACCCCTCCACTTTACCAAGCACGATGTCCTTCTCCAGGGACTGGTCTCTCCTGACAACATGTCCAAAGTACGTGGATGAAGTCTCGCCTTCCTTGCCCCTAGTGGGCACTCTGGCTGTACTTCTTCCCAGCAGATCGACATTAGCCTGGTGCGTCCAGCACGGATCTGAATACTGTCCGTCCCCCCCCCCAGCAGTCACTCAGTAGGAGGGGCGTCCGCACAGAGCCTGCCAGGCGCATACCGTGGAGTCCCTTGCATGGGATTCCCACCCTGCCCTTGGCCGTCCTGGCTGAGTTTGCCGACTGTACAGAGAGCCCGCGGCGGGGGAGCTTGGGAAATAGTGCCGTGGTGTTTTAGGTTTAACTTGCTGGGTGATTCTGCTCAGCTGGCAATGGACCCCGCTCCATGCCGCCCCCAACGCCCCTCCAAGTGGCGCTCAGGCCCCTGCCTCTGGGCAGGACACCTCAAGGCAGGCGGTTTTTGTTTTCTTCTGGATCCTGCCTGCCCTGTGAAACAGTTCCTTTTTGGCCCCCGAGCCCGGCTCTGGTGAATGCTTCACCTGTCCCAGCTGTGTAGACTGGGTTTTTGTATGTGGCCTGCCAGCCATTCCGGGTCTCCCACAAATGCTGGTTTAACGTTGATCACCTGCTGTGGGCTGGGAGTTGCGGTAGGAACCGGGCCCAAGGTGCAAAGCATCTTTGAAAGGATGAAAATAACAGAGACCCCTAACCTGGGGACGACCCCAACTCCTCAGTCACAGGAGGAGCGACTGCCAGGCCCTACTGCCTCGGCGGGCCTCCTCCTCCTCCTCCTCCCAGCCCTCGGGTACATGAGGCCTGGTTTGTCCTTTTGTTTGCTGGTCCCCAGTGTCATTTCAACCAGTTAAACCAATGAAAAGATGGGGCTGGGCGCCTCGGGGTCTTGTCCGCTTTTCTTACCAAGTCAATCATGGGGAGAACAACCATCTTCCACAGCCTTCCCCAAATGAAGTTTAAAAACAGAGCAGGTTGTTGTTGCAAAGACACAAGGAGGCTTTAAAAGGTCTGTGGGACAATCCCCATGTCTCTCAAGTCTCTTTGTCCATGGACTCATTGAAGTCGTCCCCCAGACAGATTGGCAGCGTCTACAGGTACAATTCAGGGTTCTTGTTCACGTGCTCTAAGCTGGGCACCCACGCTCACCCTCCTGCTCTGAGGAGGTCCTCCCCTGCTGGCAAACTCCCTGTCCCCTCAGTCTCCCATCCAACCTGTTGAGCTGCTGTTGGTAATTTGATCCTATGTGGAGAGTGCTTGAGAGAGTGGAATGCCCAAGGTAGATATTTGTCACTAAATAGATGAATCATTAGTCTGTTTTAAGAAGACCATAAGGGTTCTTTTTAGTTCAGGCTTAAAGGTGACCTCAGGGCCAGTTTCAGGCGTTCATCCAGCCTCCAAGGCTTCCAGAATTCTTGATTGTATGAGAACTTGACGTCCTGTCTTACATGTCCCTCCCCTGTGATCAGGAATCCTCTACAACATCTCTGATCAGAAGTTCCATAAGGGTAGTGAGGCGCCCGCCATCCATTTCTTCCAGTCCCCCGGTTCGTGAGGGCAGTAGTCACACATCCCTTCTCCATCGCCTCTTCCTGACTCTCCTCCTCTCGCTTTAGAAGAATAAAGACCAACTGGTGTATCTTTGATGGTCACATGCACGCTTTCCCGACCCTAGCCTCCACGCGGTGAACTGGGTGTTAAGGATAGAAACACGCAAGAGGATATTAGGCCAATTAACTGGGATGTCCCCGAAACCATGACGCTAAACCTGCAAGCCAAGGAACCAAATCCCATGAGGTGTTGGCACATAAAGCAGACTCAGAAGCTGCTCTTTTGATGGTTGTGAATATACCTATATACCTACCACACAGCCTTTGCCACTTCAGCTTTTTACAGGTGACAACGTTTTGACGCCAATGCAGTCATAG